TATATGCAAGTCTTCTTTGGAGAAATGTCTATCCAAATCCTTTGCCCATTCTTAAATTGGGGGTATTTGTTTTTTTATTGTTGAGTTGTAAAAGCTTTTTATATATTCTGAATAGAAGTCTCTTATCAGATACTTGATTTGCAAATACTTTCTCCTATTCTATAAGTGCTCTTGTTTTCTTCTTCCACATCAGACAGGTAATGTGCTAACATATTAACAAGGTTTGAGGGAGGCACTTCTCACATATGAATGTGAAAACTCAATCATCATGTTTATGAACTACAGAAGAATCAATGTTCTTGATTTTAAAGGCCAGTTTGGCTAAGTATAAAATTCCAATTTGCCAGTTATTTACTCTTAGACATTTAAAAATGTTACTCCTTAGACATCTAGCTTACAACAATGATCGAAATTAAAGATTTCACGTCATTCACCATTGCTTCTGACAATTCTCAGCTACTACTTCTTAGAATATTGCTTCTATTCTATTTTGTCTTACAATATTCCAATTGGATGTGAGTCCTACTCATTTTGTTCTTTGTGTGTCTTCCAACATTCCTTCAGATTTTCCAAATTTTTATCCCTATCTGCGGCATTCTGTGTAATTTTTTAGATCTCAGAGGCTTTTTTAGTTTACTAATTCTGTCTTCCATTCTATCTAATCTGCTGTTTAATTTGCCTATTGAGTTCTGTTTTGTTTTGTTTTGTTTTTGAGACAGAGTCTCAAGCTGTCACCCTGGGTAAAGTGCTGTGGCATCATAGCTCACAGCAACCTCAAACTCTTGGGCTCAAGTGATCCTCTTGCCTCAGATTTTCTATTTTCAGTAGAGATGGGGTCTTAGTCAGGCTGGTCTCCAGCTGCTATGTTCAAGCAATCCACCTGCCTCGGCCTCCCAGAGTTCTAGGATTACAGGTGTGAGCCACTGCGCCCAGCCTTCTATTGAGTTTTTGATTTTATCATGGCTTTCATTTCTAGATGTTCTATTTATTTTTCAAATCTCTCTCATCTTTTTTGATTGCATATGCCCCTTTCTCATATTTTTAGCTTTTCCTTACTTTTCTTTAAGCACTTTAAAAAGTTCTTATTTTTTACTTCACATCTAATATTATAATTCTGTTATAGGAAGATGGAAAATATCTTATGCTTCTGTTTATTGGGCATGCTGACATTTGTTCATGCAGATTTGTTTCCATGTTCTTATTTATTTATTTTTTGTATTTGAGCTTTATTTGTTCAAACTTTTTGTGTGAGAATCCTACATAGCCTGGGTTAAGAGTTGGCTTCTTCAGAGAAGCTTTGTGCAAAGCTTCTTCAAGGAATGAATAATTCAGTACTAATTTTTGTTAATGTTTCATCTTGTATTTCCCCAGATCATGCATCTTATACATTCTGTTTTCAAAAGCACCTGAAGCCCAGGATTGTAGATTCTCAATGGAAACATTTTTTTTCAGTAGCAGAACTCAGTTGAGACAAACAAATTTCCCTTTCCCCTCGTTTTGCAAATGCCAGATTTTTCCTGATTCCTTCTTCCTTAAAAGTATAGCCTTTAAAACAAAGCCTTGCAAACACCAGTTTAATGGCAGTCCTTGGTTATCAAGATTAGCCAACAACCCCAGGCAGCCATAGCATCAGGGTCCACTTAAAATAACTTTGGTTTTCTGGTTTCTTTTTGTTCCTCTGCTCTGTATAAGATTTGTATAAGATTTTCCTTTCTCTCCCCTACCCCCAGCTCTTCTATGTATTTACATGAACGTTTGTCATGTTTAGGTGTTTTTGTACTGGGAATATTGTCATGTTATCTAGTTCCCACATTGCCTGAAATATCACTCCAGGGGGGGAAAAGTATAAATACAGGAGCAGATAGTTGCTAGAGTACACAAACCCCCCTTGGAGCCTTTTCTGGATCTTTGTGTTACCGAAGATGACTTAATCAGATAATGGAATTCCTATGCTGTTAGGTATCTGGGTAATTTAGAACTTTGATCCAATTAGAATGTATTATTTTTAAGAAGAGTTTGAGGGGCTCGGCGCCTATAGCTCAACCGGCTAAGGCGCCAGCCACGTACACCTAAGGTGGCAGGTTCGAATCCCCAGCCCGGACCCGCCAAACAACAATGACGGCTGCAACCAAAAAAAAAATAGCCGGGCGTTGTGGCGGGCGCCTGTGGTCCCAGCTACTTGGGAGGCGGAGGCAGGAGACTCGCTTGAGCCCGGGAGTTGGAGGTTGCTGTGAGCTGTAATGCCACGGCACTCTACCCAGGGGGACAGCTTGAGGCTCTGTCTCAAAAAAAAAAAAAAAAAAAGAAGAGTTTGAGGAAGGGAAATCAGTGCTCTAAATCTTGCATGCAGTCAGGAGGAGGGATGTTTGAGATAAAGGTGTGTTTTTCTGAGACCCTTCAATCACCTTCTGCCTAATACTCCTACATGGGGCTCTAGGAGAAGCCCTGTGGAACCATGGTACCTGCCACATGGTAATGCTCGATAAATATTTGCTGATGAAATGTTGAAGCATAACTGAGTCATTGTATCACAAGACAACTCCTTCTTTTCAGCAGTAAACTTCCCTCTATTGTTGATATGACCCATCCAGAATGCTATATTGTACAATACATTTTTTAAAACATTGATAATGAGAAAGAAGAGTAGGTTAGTGCACTGAGGTGATGTGCAAGGGATAACCATTTCAGATTAAATAAAGTTTTCATTACAGGTATACTTGGGGTTGAATGGTGAGAGAAAGAGAGGGCTGCTCCAATGTTTATGTATGAATTGAGAATAGTAATGCCTAACACTTATGGTGTCCTTAGTATACCCCAGCACTGTTCTGAGTTCTCTTCATCTATCAGTTCATTTAATCCTCCCAGCAACCCTTGGAAGTGGATACTATTATGATCTTATTTTACAAATAGAATCGAGGCACACAGAAATTAAATAATTTTCTAAAAAGTGATAGAGCCAGAATTCTAACCCAGGCAGTGTAGCCCATGAGCTTGCATGTTAAGCTGTTTTGCCACACGGCTGGGCTTGGACCCTGGTTCCTGTACACAGAGCTGCATATCATTCCACAGATGTTATACCCCGGGAAGCCTCTGAGCCTTATCTGTATTGTTCTCCAGATTGGAAATGACCAGTTCTTTCTTTATCTGATGAACTCTCCGTCTTTTCTGCCGCAGCTGAGATTTTTGCTGTTTCCAGAAGTTGAGTAGTTTGGACAAGGGTAATAAGGACAAGGAAGAAGGGAAAGGACACGTGTGGTAGCTCAGGCCTGTAATCCCTCCCCTGTGGGAAGCCGAGGCAGGTAGATCCCTAGAGATTAGGAGTTCAAGACCAGCCTGAGCAAGAGCGAGACCCTGTCTCTACTAAAAATAGAAAATATAGCTAGATGTTGTGGTGGGTCCCTATAGTTCTAGCTACTCTGGAGGCTGAGGTCAGAGGGTCACTAGAGCCCAGGAGTTTGAGGATGCTGTGAGCTATGATGCCAGGGCACACTAGCCTGAGGAAACAAAGTGAAACTGTCTCAAAAAAATAATAATAATAAAAAGAAGGGAAGAATCTATACTCTGTGATTCTGTGATATTTTTTAAAAAATCAAAAACTTTGGAGGCCGGGCGCAGTGGCTTATACCTATAATCCTAGCACTTTGGGAGACTGAGGCAGGTGGATTGCCTGAACTCATGGGTTTGAGACCAGCCTAAGCAAGAGCAAGACCCCATCTCTAAAAATATCTGGGCATTGTGGCAGGCGCCTGTAGTCCCACCTACTTGGAAGGCTGAGGCCAGAGAATAGCTTGAGCCCAAGAGTTTGAGGTTGCTATGAGCTTTGATGCCACTGCACTCTATTGAGGTCAACAAAGTGAGTCTCTGTCTCAAGGAAAAAAAAATTAAAAACTTTGATTATATGAACAAAGAAACATCCAGGTTGTTTCCCTTCCTGTGGCTCCAGGGAACCAGGATGCAACCTCATGTGTACCCGTGCGTATGCAGGGATAAGAGAATTGATGAAGTCATGCTTAGGAATTTTCAGAAACACAATTTGGATCCCAGTTCCCAGCTTGCCTTAATTAGAACTGTTTTATCCAGAAGAGAAACAGAAGTAGTCGGTAATCTATTCAGTATGATTGGGTGGCAAGGCAAAACCTGCCTGTCCAAACATAGATTCCTCTTTCTGTGAAATCCCATTCTCTGAAGCTAAATGTTGTCCTGTGAAAGGCGCATTTTATTTATTTATATTTTTTGAGACAGAGCCTCAAGCTGTCCCCCTGAGTAGAGTGCTGTGGCATCACAGCTCACAGCAACCTCCGACTCCTGGGCTCAAGTGAGTCTCCTGCCTCTGCCTCCCAAGTAGCAAGTAGCTGGGACCACAGGTGCCCGCCACAATGCCTGGCTATTTTTTTTTTTTTTTTTGGTTGCAGCTGTCACTGTTGTTTGGAGGGCCCAGGCTGGATTCAAACCTGCCACCTTGGGTGTATGTGGCTGGTGCCTTAGCCACTTGAGCCACAGGCGCCGAGCCAGAAGGCTCATTTTAAAGCCATGTACCTGGTTCAGCACCCATAGCACAGTAGTTACAGTTCCAGCAACATACACCGAGGCTGGGGGTTTCGAGCTCAGCCCAGACCAGTTAAACAACAATGACAACTGCAACAAAAAATAGCCAGGTGTTGTGGCAGGCACCTGTAGTCTCTGCTACTTGGGAGGCTGAGGCAAGAGAATCTCTTAAGCCCAAGAGTTTGAGGTTGCTGTGAGCCGTGACACTACAGCACTCTACTGAGGGTTACATAGTGAGACACTTTCTCAAAAAATAAATGAATAAAGCCATATACTAAGCTCTTACTATGTGCCAGGCCCATTCCTTTCTTTTCTTTCTTTCTTTCTTTTTTTATTTTGAGACAGAATCTTACTCTGTCACCCGGGGTATGACCCATGGTGTCATAGCTCACGGCAATCTCAAACTCTTGGGCTCAAGCAATCCTCTTTGCTGCCCAGGCTGGCCTCAAACTTCTAGGTTCAAGTGATCCTTTTGCCTCAGCCTCCCAAGTAGCCAGGACTACAGGCATGTGCCATGTTTTGTCTCATTTAATCTTCACAGTAATTCTAAGAAACATGGAATCATAATTATGAAGCATTTTACAAATGAAGAAACTGGGCTCTGAGAACAGGAACTCACCTATGGCAACACTGAAAGGTGCGAACAGTGGTGCCCAGAGACAAGGAGGCAGAGGAGATGCCCAGGCCAGGCTTATCCAAAGGGTAGGTGAACCACCCGGGGAAGTGCAAAGATGGCCTCTGCTAGG